TGCTTGCCTCACGCTCCAGCCTTGAATGCTGCATCGTCAGCCTCAGCTCTGCTCCCTGCCATGAGCTGCAAGGTGAGCATGGCTGGTAGACACAAACCCCGCAGTCCTGTGAAGCAGGTCGGTGTTTGTAAGGCAGAAACAGCGTAGGCATCGGAGCTCCTGAGCCATCCCCGGGTGCGTGCTGGGGAGCCAGAGGGGCGCAGATGCAAAAAGGGTGGGGTGAAACTCAGCAACACCCACTGCAAGGAGCCCTGTGGCACCTGCTGCTCAGAAGCCACTCACGCAAACCGGCCACGGAAAGGCCTTGATTTGCCTGAAAGAGGCAACAAATGTGGCTGGTGGCTGAGCAGGAGCCGGGGCGGCTGCGTTCACTGAGGAACTGCGCTGAGGTGGGGGCTCTGCACCCTTTTCTGGCGCGGGGGGGGGGGCTCGGCCCCCACAGCGTTTCAGCAGTGGCTGGCCCAGCCGCACGACTCGGCGACGCTCCGGTGAGCTGGAAGGGCTGAGGCCTGGTCCTGTCCTCGCTACGGTACGATGACTTCCCCTAAAGAGCGGTGACAGAGGGGGCTCGGCTGGGCTGTGCTGGAACGCTGCAGGGAGCAAAGAGGACCTTTCTGCATGTCCTCAGTTCTGCCGTCTCCAGTTCCCACCCTGAGCAACTTTGTTCAGCGTTCCTCTGCCGCTGCGAATCGCCAGGCACGGGCAGCAGGTTGATCTGCAGAGGAGGTGGTGCTGTCAAGTTTCTGCATCCTCCCTCGCCTGAGATGGGCCCTCCTTCCACAGGGTCCGGTGCTTGTGGCACCAGAGAGGGGGTTTCCTGCGGGTCAGCGGTTCCCTGCTACCACCGTGCAGGAGTTTTCTGCAGAAACAGACGGTGCCCAACAGCGGCTGGTGACAGGGATTCAGATCTCTGCAGCCAGAGCAACTCAGGGGCTCAGGGAGTCACAGGATCCCCGTGCTTGGAGATACTCTGGACTCAACGGAACAAGAAACCCGATCCAAACTGGATCTCCTCCAAAGAGGATTACAGACCACCAGATTGCCTCTCCCAACCGCAATTATTCTTCAATTCTGTGATTTCTTTTTTTCTTGTGTAACTGCAAACACCACTCTTTCTTACAAAAAACGACCCAGAGCGAACGTGCCCAGGAGCCCTGGCTCCGTCCCTGCTCAGGCAGCGCCTTGTGTCCTCAGAGCCAGACGGCCCATCTGCCTCAAAGGCACCTGAGCAGTGACAGTTTGGTTTTGCTTACCCCCTCCAGAGCTTCGGAGCCTCCCAATGGGCCACTTCTCCTGCCTCCCGTGACCAGCCGAAGGAATCACAGAATCATTAAGGTTGGAAAAGACCTCTGAGATCATTGAGTCCAACCGTTACCCTAACTGCCTGGCCCACCTCTAAGCCATGGCCCTAAGCGCCACATCCACGTTTTTTTGGACACTTCCAGGGACTGTGATTGCACCACTGCCCTGGGCAGCCTGGGCCAGGGCCTGACCACTCTGTGAAGAAATTTTTCCCAATACCCAACCCAAACCTGCCCTGGCGCAGCGTGAGGCCGTTCCCTCTCGTCCCATCGCTTGTTACTGGGGAGAAGAGACCGACCCCCCCCCGGCTCCAGCCTCCTTTCAGGCAGTTGCAGAGAGCGATGAGGGCTCCCCTCAGCCTCCTCTTCTCCAGGCTGAGCACCCCCAGCTCCCCCAGCCTCGTGCTCTAGCACTGCCCCTGCCCACGCACGTTTGCTGCATGCAGGAGGTTCCAGTGGAGGAGGCATGAAGCAAAGGCCCTTTGCCTCCCTGATCCGATTTTAGCATGCCATGAAGTAACACGTTTGTAGGGCTTCAGCTTGATTGTATTAAGTGTGCACGTGCTAATTTAGATGGTAACACAGCACGTAGGGAGTGAGATCCTGGTCAGATGAGGGGAAAGGAAAGTAAACCCTCTGCCTGGCCCAGGTGAACCACTCAGGTTGCACAGTAAAAGCTAACAGTGTTGCATCAACACTTACCTCAGTACCACCTGCGAGTCGAGTTCACTTGAGATGAGGCTTTCTTGGCACGATCCGCTTCCCGTAAAACCCCGCCGAGTGGCACAACGCTACACTGCCGCCTCCCTGCCCGGGGTCCGCGACTGCTGCCGAGCGAGGCTGTGCGGAGCTGGGCGGGTTGTTCAGCACCGGTTGCTGGTGTGGGGCTTGTCTTTGTTAGAGTCCTCTGGACCTTCTCAAGAAAGAAAGAAAAACCTACAAAACCCGAAGGGATCTTTAGCCAGTTCTTAACGTTCTTGGGTGGGAGCTGTCTGGTGTCGAAAATTCTGCATTTTAGCATTTTCTTGTAGATTGTTCATGGAGCTTCTTCACTCTTACCAGTCTGTGAGAATCAATACCAGCTGCTTTCCAAGCAGAACATTTTGACCCTTTGTTTTACCTCCATCAGTAGCAGGTAAGTTTTCTCATCTCCAGCTATGCACAGGTGCAGACCATTTTGAAGATTTATATTGTTCATTATCTAGCTGGAAATGCCGGTTCCTCTTCAAACCCTTCAGTACATCTTGTCCCGGAAAGGCAGCGATGGGTCTGCTGGCCGTTGTCATGGCGTAATGTCCTGCTGTGCCCCAGTTCCGATGCTGGCGCTTCAGTTTGCTGAGCTTCACCAGAACCACACACCGCACACATGTTTTCCAGCACAAGTCACTTATGGAGCTGAATCCCCCCCGAGGCCTTTGCAGGAGAGCAGGGCTGGTTGGGGAAGGGAAGGAGGAGCTCCTGACAGCTCCCGGTTCGGTACCGGAGCCTGGGAACTCCCTCTCCACGCGCCCGTCTCCCTGCAGGTGTCAGAGGGACACAGGGCAAGACGGAGCGTGGTATGAAATCAGTGAGTGCTTCCTCGTGAATGCTGCGCTCTCCCAAACGGGGCCTTTTACCTTTTTGGTTCCTCACATCCTTCTCGCTGGCTGAAGAGTGACGGGGAAGTTCATCCTGCGGGAGGTCTGTCAGGAGCGGCTATTTGAACGCTGGGAGAGCAGGAGAGGTGTTTACTAGGGGAGCAGGCAGCGGGGAGAGCATTTGGGGTCATCGAGGGCTGCTGGGGCAGGACGCTGCAGTTTGCCTTGAAATCAACAGAAGGTTTTGGAAAGGTATTTTGTAGCTACCCCATTGACAGACGAATTAATACTGGGCTCCATTCATCCCACATTTCCCTGGTGGACAAAGGAGCTGTTATTTCTTGCAACTGCAGGCTCTATTCTAACAGTATTGTCCCAGTCTTTTCCTCATCTCTGCTGCCACACTTTTCTCAAGCAGATTTTGCCACAAATTCACCCCCAGTTAGCAAGTCCTCCAGGCCCGATAAGTTTTTGTGTCGTGGATCTCACCAGATGGAGCAGTTGGTTTTTACTACCGCACTGAGGCTGCAGGGCAGAGGCACAGCCGAAGGTGGCTGCCGGCTCTAACACGGCGTTGGTGCACGCCCTGCACACAGCAGTTCGACAAATGTCTTGAAGGTAGAGAACAGGAGCTGAATTCCCCCTGGCTCAGGAAATATTTTATTCTTTATATTTTCATTAAAAAATAAACATAGGAAACAAAACCACAGAACACTTGTGTGATAGAAACAAATGCAGAAGGTCAGAGCGTTGGCTGAAAGTGCATAATTAAGTCATGCTACCACGTCCCTGATCCCACCCTGTCCCTCAAGCAAGGAGTCAGCAGTAAGCTCAACGAGCAGCACTACACGGAGCCCAGGCACTGCGGGGGCCAAGCTGACGGCGGAGGAGAGCCCGCGCTCCCAGAAACGCAGCAAGGCAGGAGACATGCTGAGGAGAGAGTGCTCTAGTGAGCCAGCGATGAAGCTCTCGCTCGGGGTTCGTGGAGCAGGCGAAGGATAGCTAGTGTAAGAGGATGTGGAGTTACGAGGCAGGGGAATAAACAGCTGAGAACAAAGGGCAAAACGGAATCCTGGGTGTCACTCCGGAACGGCCCTGGAAGCAGTAAAACCCTACTTAAAAGGAAAATCAACACAATGAACTTGACTGAAGGCCGAGGTGGGTGTGCTGGACGGGTCTGTCCAGGGACGAACCCCAGTCACTCACCAGCAAGATCTACAGGGATAGTAGCAATTGTGTCCCTACTTTCAGGGCCTCAGTCTCTGCAAGGTGACCTCCCCGCAGGGGTGGGAGCAAAGGCACTGCCACATCACAGCAAGGCTCCTGCTGCCAGAAAATGCAGCGCTTTGCAGCTGGGTCTGTCAAGCTTTTCAAGGGAAATAGGATGCGATGAACCTTGCTGAGCCCCCTGATCAGAGCACAAATGCTGCAGATCTGCTTCTACACCAGGCAACGAGCTTTTCCCCCTGCCCTCTGTCCCCTGCACCCTCAGGCTTTTGGGTCTCAGTAGTTGACAGCTTTAATCTGCGACTCCTTTTGTGTGCAGACCTGTGAGGAACCTGCAGACGCAGCTACAGTGCAGGACCCCCTTACGCATGCTCACTCGGTTTGGCTCTGCACTGACGTGCGCTTGAGGAGCATGTTTAAACATTCAGTATGTACAAGATGATTTGAAGCTGGAACATAAGAGCAGCTGGATTCACCCTCACACATCCACACGGCTGACAGCAACCAGAGGACCTGCGTGGTCCTGCAGTGGCTGAAGAGACCAGCCAGTTGTATGTACATGTCCTTGGAAACATTCACCAGGCTGGCTGACGCCAAGGCTGGGGGCATCTCTGCTCTGCCGATAGACGTAGCCACAGGAATAGCAGAGAATGCAGCTTCTCCTGACCTACTTCACCACCCTTCTCCAGCTTCACACAGAGCCCCCGATTTCAAATGACTGCTGAGATAACACGTTTATGCACATGCTCTAGTCAAAAGCAGCACAGAAAGCTGCTGTTCTGGTGCCTATTTCCACAGCATCCACAACTCTCAAGAACAGTCACTGCAAATCACTTGGGACTCTTCCTCCAGCCGAGACTTTTTAGGATGTTCTTCTTTGTAAGTTCCCTCCAGATCACTTCTCCCGAAGGACGCAGACTCCAGCGTCACAGCGCTGCATCCCCAGGGAGGTCACCACTTCCCAGTTGTCGATGATGGGATCATAGCACTCAATGCTGCTCAGCAGTGAGTTGCCATCGTATCTGCAAGGACAGAAAGTTAGAGGTGAGGGAAGAGGTTGAGGCGTTCAGAGCCCTTCCTGGGAGGCCGGATAGCTGCGTACAGCAGGA